AACACCGGCATCTCTAAAACTGATGGTTTATTTTCTACTAATAGATATTCATATTCATTCCATGATTCCTTGGATTGTACATATCTTGTATAAATCTAGAAGTTATGGAAGGAATGGGTTTTCAAACATGCTTTTCATAAGAAAATATAGGATTTTCTTGAGGAACACTCTTCAAAAGGATTCAAAGAAACATTTTCCCACCAAAACTAAATGCTTATGAACTAACCAGCTTTTTGCTGATATTCTTTCAAAATTGCTTGTATTCTCAGGAAATCAGTAGGTAGGTACCTTCCGAGCATTTTGAAGAAGTCGGAGCGAATAAGATTAAGTCTTTATAGTTTCCTTATACTTTTGATGTATTCGAATCAGATTTAAAACCAATGTAAACTTATTTAATTTTCATGTATGCACTGTTTGGTTGTGTTTACTATGATTGCTATTATGCACTGGTTGTGATGCTAAAGATGACGTCCTCCACTCCGGAACGACTCCGCCATTTTGGTTTCGTGGTGTGACAAAAAAGACCACCACCTCTTCTCTATCCCCATTTCCTTATATAATTTGAAATGTAGCCAACATCAATTTTTAGAATCAAGCACTCTTGTTCCTCCTTTGTGATTCAAGAACCCTCTCATTCCTACATCAGTGTTTCCTTCCCACGACCTCCAATCCCCTCCTTCTTTCCTCCAATTCCGACAAACAAGATCGATTTATGCCATACACCGATCAATTTTGAATGTGAGAAATCGATTTTTAGATTTCTCTTTTGCAACCTTTGTAGGAGATTCTTTGACTACTTTATATGGATTTAAGGTTTCATTCCATATAGATCGTATCTAGGACATAAATGTAATCAAGTTTTGTCAATTTTGGGTTCTTTCATTCAAAGAAAGTCATCGAAAATGGCAAGAATGGTGGTGGTGTTCGATGGTTTACGACAAAAATAAAGGTTGAGGCAATGACGATAAAAATATTTGTCAAAATGAAGATGACCAAAATCACTAAAATGATCAATAATTAAGCCACTGGTAAAACAACAAACTTTTTTATATCAAAACTACACTTTTTTAATGGGAAATTGTCATAAAAATCTCAACATTTTTGGAAAAGTTTCACTTAAGTCTCAATTTTTTTTATTTTTTTTTTTTTTGCATAAAAAAAACCCAAGAAAACCGGCTAAATCTTACAATTTACCCATTTTTTACCTTTTCAATCGGTAATTGTTTACGTGGCAGGCCAAGTTGGATTGGGCTGCAAACGTCGCAGCTAATGTGGCATGCCACGTCAGCCAATAAACTTTAAAAAAAAAAACATAATTATGAAGAAAAAAATAGCCTACTCGGATCGAAAGGAACCTCACCTACCAAACAAACGCCACTAACCGGTTAGGCTAGAGGATATAACTGCTAATTCTCTTTCACACTTATATATATATATATATATATATATATATATATATATATATATATATATATATATATATATATATATATATATTATTTTTATTATTATTATTAAAAATGAAAACGTAAACATAGGTCTTTTATAGGTAGTTTTTTTAAACTTTCTTTTGTTCATTTAAAAGAATTTATATATTTTTTTAATGTGTGTGTGTGTGTATATATATATATATATATATATATATATATATATATATATATATATATATATATATATATATATATGACAAAATTGCAAAAATGATTCCTGTGGTATGCAAATTTTTGGGGTTTTAATCCAAACCCCGAGTTTTTTGGATTCATGGTCTTTTTGGAGTAGTTTGTACGTGAAAATAATCCCTCCGAAAATTGAAATGACCATAATACCCTTGGGGTATTTATTTTTCATTTTTCTTTCATTTTATTTTTAAATTTAATATTTATTTATATATTTTAACAATTAAAAAACTAATAAAGGATCTCTCTCTCTCTCTATCTCTCTCTCTCTCTCTCTCTCTGTGTGGTTGACTACGAAAGAAACCACCAGAGTGGTTGCAAATTTCGTCGAGATCGAAAGGGAAAAGAGCCCTCGTTCCCCTCTTCTTCCTCTGTTTCCTGGAGCCACCTAACGCACCAGGATTGTCAAGAAAACACAACCCCGAACACCTCTTTCCTCGCATAATTGTTGGATCATAAAAGAAAGAACAGTCTATCTCCCTCGCCACCGCAGATGACAGTGACCACCACAGTTGCCGCCATTGATGAAGAGTAAACCCACAAAGGGTCGCCGATCTGGATGGACCCCCTTCTCCCTCCTCGTGATTTTTGATCCACCACCAGACAACCTCTCTTGCTGCTTCGTTAGTTCTTTTCTCAATCTGATGAAAACGAATCCGCCTCCCTTTTCTGATTTTTGATCCACCACCAACTAAACAAGATCATCATGATTTGGATTTAGGGAATTTCTAGAAGAGTACTTTGAACTCACAACAACACCATACAAGACCTGAACCCTCTTCCCAGCTTAACTTACCCATCCATCACATTCCACCAATCCAGAACAAATATCACCGATCAAAACCATCATCTGGGGTTCAGATCAGATTTAGGGTTCTTGAGACCCATAAAAGGGCTTCTTGTTTATTACCATAACACCAATCTTCCTAAGATCACAATACTATCTCATAATTAACATCAACCTTTTTTGGATGAAGCTTTCATTATGTTTGTGGTACCACCGGAAATCGAGATTTGGGTGTAGTAACATCGGCGATTTGAGTGTGTTCCCTACTAGAAATCAGAGAAGATGAGCAAGTGAGCGAAGAAGGGGAGATTAGTGATGGGGATGAAGGTTTGTTTGGACATTGGTATGAGGACGAATATGATTTTGAAGATGCAACAATAAATGGTCTGTTCTTGATTTTACGAGAGAGAGAGAGAGAGAGAGAGAGAGAGAGAGAGAGATAAGTGGGCCCAGATTAATTATTTGTTTCCTTTTTTATTTAAATTAAATAGAAAAAACATAAAAAAAAATATATCAAAAGGGCATTATAGTCATTTCAATTTTACGAGGGACCAAATTTACATACAAACATGACCAAAAGGACCACAAATTCAAAAAAGTCGGGGTTTGGACTAAAACCCAAAAAAAATGTATACCACAGGGACCATTTTTGCAATTCTCTCTCTTTCTCTCTCTCTCTCTCTCTCTCTCTCTCTCTCTCTCTCTATATATATATATATATATATATATATATATATATATATATATATATATATATATATATATGGGTGTGTGTGTGTGTATAATAATGTATTTAATTTTTTTATATATGTATTTATTTGATAATATTAATACTATAAATTTAAAAATAATATATTTATTTGTGTTTTTTACATATTTTATATGTATTTTTACAAATCATTACATATATACATTTTCAATTGTACAAAATATATATATATATATATATATATATATATATATATATATATAAATATATATATATATATATATATATATATATATATATATATATATATATATATATATATATATATATATATATATATATATATATATAAAAGGAAAACATTGTCTTTTATTTTTTCATTTTGCAATAGTTGCTAGTAAGAAAAGAAAAAGATCAAAATTTTTTCAACCTAGTTAGTCACCGTTTCGTTTTGGGAGATTGAAGTCCCGTGTTCGAATCCCATTATTTCCGTTTTTCTATCTTAAAAATCATTTTTTCTTTGAACTTTAAGTAAATGAAATACACATTATATATAATTGTGAAGGAAGAAAAGAAAATACATCTTCTTGCCTAAATGGTAGGTCCCTGGTTCCAAACTCCCCCTCTTCGTTTCCATCCGCAATTTTATTATTATTAAGTATAATGAATCAGCATCCAAAAGGTCAAAGTGGGTTAAATTGTAAGATTTAACCGATTTCTTAGAATTTTTTATTAAAAAAAAAAATTAGAATTAAAGTAAAACCCTTTTTGAAAATATTAAGATTTTTTTTGAAAATTTCTCCTTTTTGAAAGTAAAACCCTTTTTGAAAATATTAACCAACAATGTGATGAAATAAAATGATAAAAGATAGGTGATGATAGAAAGGTGATGATAATTAGGTAAATAGATGATTATGAATATGTGATGTGGGATGAAAGGAGATACCATAATCTTAACCAGCAATGTGGCGATGTGGTCATCTACCAGAGTATAGATGGCGACCACGAACTATGGCGATGTAGTCATCTACCAGAGTATAGATGGCGACCACGGAGTATTCTAAACAACCCAGTGGAAACACCAGCAGGCCCATAACCTGTTGGTGATGAATTACGATTTCAGACGATGTTGTAACTACGTATTCATGCGATGATACTCTAACCCCTTACTATGAATTACGAGTTCAGACGATGTTATAATTCACATCAGTGAGAATGGTTCATTTTTTTGTAAAACCAAAATTAGATTGGAAATTTTGATTTTTTATTTTGGAAAATGTCAAACCATTGGTTTTTTATTTCAGTTTTGGTTTTTTGTTTTTTTTTAAAATATATTTTCAGGGTTTTATTTTTTTTTATATATAGATTTCTTCATCAACAAATGTTGCTACAATTTAACAAAAATAAATAATTTGCTAAAACATAATACAAGAGGAAGTTTGTTCACATTTAGTCATTGAACTTTTTAGAGGAAAACGAACTTTCGATTTTGTTTATATTTAGTCACTAAACTTTTTTTCGTTATCCATTTGTCATTGAACTATTGGAACTATTCACATTTTACCCTTAGCCGATCATAAGGTAAAATGTAAACAGTTTCAATAGTTCAATGATAAATAGATAACGAAAAAAAGTTTAATGATTAAATATAACAAAAATCGAAAATTCGTTACCCTTTCAAGTCATTATCTCTTTTAAATACCAAACTTTTTTTTATATCAAAACCAAACTTTTTAATAACGATAAAAACATTTTGGCAATTTTGTCTATATTCTATTTTTTCTAATCTATTTAGATTCAAATTTACACTTCTATTTATTGGGTTGTACGTATGTGGCTTACATCTTTTTATGACAAAATACCATTTTCAAAGCTACTTGTGTCTAATTGTCCACACCATCATGTCTTCCTCACGCAACCCTGCAACAAAACCCTAAAATCTACCCTTCACTGACGAAGTGGAGCTTTCAAGTTTTAGTAATGGCAGAGTAAGCACCTATCTCGCACATACTAACTGTGTTTTATGTATCTCAAAATCTTCGTTTTGCATTTTATTCTTTCAGATCTAATGGATACCCCAACTTACTGTGACCAACAAAGCAGATCACGATCTTCTTCAACATCGACAACGAGTATTCACGTAACAGCACTTGACGGTCTCGTAAACGTCAACTCCCTCTTCACAATCGCCGTCTTCGTCGGTCTCTCTCTCACAACTCCCGGCCAACGCAGCCTCGAGAACCGATCCGCCTGTGACGCCCGATATCTCCGTCGCCAAAAAGCTTTTGGTTTTTGAAGTTGTATCGTTCAGCTTTTTCCTTTTCTCATCTCTGGTTGCTCAAGGTCTTAAACTCGCTATCAATCTGCTCAACAGTACCGATGTTGATGAGGCTTTTAGGGCACACATTAATCTCAAGGCGTTGAGGTTCGGGATGCTCGGATCGGCTGTCGGATCGGTTATGGGTTGTTTGTTCCTGATGCTCTCGATGGTGAATGTGATTGAGATTCGATTGGGGATGTTGTCTTGTGGAAGTAGATCCACTGTGAATGCTGTTGCCTCCATGATTGTCCTGGTGACCTCTGCACTTTTGGTTTATATTTCCACTGCTGTTTATGCATTTTTACATTAGAATCGTTATATATTCATCAACTAACCTCCCTTCAACTTCTAATTCCAAGTTTGGCTGATTAAAATCTGTGATAATGCCTGAACAATACTTGAAATATTGCCCTTTTGAATCACAGTGGTTAATCTCTTTTTAGTTTGTTCCATCATTTTCGAACTAAATCTCTTTCTATTTTCGACTTGAACTTCCTAAATATTCGATTGGGGGATACTGTCACTTTCCTGTTTCCTGAGGGAAAATGAAACAATGCCATTGGCAATAAAAGTGTTGATCAAACACTTTTACCTTTGATGATCCTGATTCATGTGAATGTCGGTTTTTTTTTTTTTCCTTTGATGATGCAGTCTGTCGCTATCGATCAAACAAGTCAATGGATTCACGAAGAACAATTTACCTAAATGGGTAAAATAAAATAAAATAAAATAAGAACTATACATCCTCGAATGGAAGGTTCTCAAAATAGAGATATTATTTAAAATTATTTTACCTTTTACAAGACCATGATCATAGCCATTATATCCAAAATGAATTTATATTCAAATTTGCTTGCAAGATAGTATTATCAATTTCAACTTTTTAAGCATCATCTATAAATTTTTGTTGCTATAAATCATTAGCATTAAGAATAAATCATCATCTTAATTAGAAATAATATCATTTTGATCATGTATAAATAAGACGTAAGATTATAAAGGATTATTATGAATGTGTTTTGCTTAAATTGAGATGAAATTGACAAAATGGTGATGCTTTAGAAGACTTTTTGCAATTTGTGACGATTTCAGACGAATTTTTGATACATGGTTATATAGTAAAGCTAAACATGTGAGATCGGATAGTTTTTCACTTGTAGGATCTTAAAATCGTAAGAATCTAGGATTACAATCAAGATTTTAACAACCTTGTTCAAATGCATTATTAGTTCATGTATTTGAATATGTGGAAGTTACTGTATTTAAAATTATTGGTTAATTATGTAAAAAGACCTAATATTGTTGTTTTTTAGTTAAACTTAAAAAAGGAAACTGAGTAATCTAACATTTATAAATGATTTTTTTACAAAAATAAGTCAAGTTTTTTAAGTAACCATATTTTTCGGAACACATTATTCCGGAGAGGTTTCCGGAATTTCGGAGTACGATTCCAGATCATGGTTCCGGAACACTTTTTTTTTTCGTTTTTTTTAAGGTTAGATTTTGTAAGGCTTCCGGAACACTGGAGTATGATTTCGAAAAAAGTTTTTTTTTTTTTTTATTTGTTATTTGTGTAGATGGTTTTTTTTTTTTTTTGTAGAAGTTTTGTTTATATATTAAATAAAATGCAATTTATAATCTTAAAATCAAATAATTTTATAAACTAAAGGGATTTGTTTGAAATAATATTACAATGTGTTCAAATAATCTGAATTGGTAATCTTAAAGTCAACAAATATCAAATAAATTTATAAACTAAAACGATTTGTTTGAAGTAATATTATAATGTTCAAATCATCTTATTCATCGTACTTCAAAATATTTTTGTTGGGCGTTTACGATATAACACAACATAGCCCATGTATTGCTTGGACAATGTATAGAAAATGACTTTTCGGTGATTAACACATCTAGGAACCAACACAAAAACATCACACAATCCTATCTACCATCAATTTGTTGTGGTACTTGTGGTGCTTTTTCGAGGGTCATGTTGAAACTTTCAAGTGAGATTGAATCACTTGGTTCGGTACCTATAGTTGATGCTCAGTAACAGTCTGTGGATGCGGGCTCGCATATCTATAAACCAATCATGGGTTTCTGAAAAGTAGTCGCTCTTCCAGTGACTATCGTATATTATAATTTGTAAAGTCTTCAAATTCTAAACACCTAAAAACCAGTGAGCAATTAATATATTGAATGGGATGTAAAGCTACAAAAATAGGTTAGAAATTAAACATCAAATAACATTTTATTACATAAATACTTATTTTATTTAATCGAAACATAATTATATTGTATCACAGTTTGCCCAAGCTTGGTAAATGGATCCGCCAACCATGTCACTTCAGTCAAATGCATCAATGCTGAAAGTTGTCGGTACAACCATCCACCGAGCGTCATCCTATCTACGTTCCACCAGCAGTGAGATCCACAACATGTTGTGCGTCCAATTAAAAATATTTGCAGTTAAGTGTTGTTAGAAGAAGTGTAGTACGTAAATGAGCAGGCTAACAATGTAACTTACATCACATTCCAAGCACCCTGCATTACTATCACCATATAAGTGCGTCCAAAATTCAATTGTCGGAATACCATTCAAAAAACAATGATTAAACAAAACCCGACCATCTCGTTATTTATAAAGAATGTGTATGGCAGGTTTAAGAGAGCGTCCAACGAAGTTGGATGTTGTCGTACAACATCTTTCCTTTTCATTTGTATCCATGTGGACTTATGGCATATAGATATTACTTTTTTCCGCATAGAATGTCGAAGTGCTTAGGGCGTTTTGTATTCATCCCGCGGAATATCTTTTACATCCGACGACTGAATAAATGGAGACCGCTACTCAGGGTTGTCATGTAACGGGTTTTTAGGTGTGCGTGACCTGTAATCATAGTCCCATAAGTCATTGTCATTGTACTATGCGTTACTAAAATCGTCTCCGGGAGTCTTATTGATAAGTTTTAGAACCATGGCTAAAGTAGCATCATGCTTTGCTAAACATTGATCATGTGACCTCAACTGCTCATGACATTCACTAAGCTTATTTTTCAATTGACGGACCTTGTTTTTCAAGTCACTAATAATTCGATCCTTGCCAGTTTATGGGTCAGCGGGCGGCGGCGGTGGTGGCGGCATATGAGATGGATCATGTATATGTGCCTTATTTTATCGAGGCTTATGGGTAGGGGTGTAACATCCTTTTCGAGAATTTCTAATTTTAGGATTGTGGACAATAAATGAATCAAAATGGAGGCCTTGGGCTTCAATGGAATGAAGTTTAGACTCTATTGGAGTTGTATGATGTTGGACAAGTGATTTAAACCTTGGATTGTTGGATGGAAGCTGAGGGGTAAAATGGGAAAGGTTATGTTTCGTACTTCTTGCATAAATTAAGGATTTTAGTTCGAGATGTTTTTAGTTAAGTACCAAGATACAATTGTACAACTCGTCAACACATTTCTGGGGAAATAAAGATCATCGAATAAGTAGTTCGAACGAAGAAGTTATGGCAGTTTGAAGTTAAGCTGGAAGAAGAGAGTTTGGTTGTACGTTGGGCGTACACCAGGAGTACGTTGGGCATCCGACTAAGGAAGTCTCGTTTTTAGGGTGTTACGGTGGGCGTACCGCCGAATTGCAAAAACCTTATTTTCATGGTTTTGAGCCCTATTTAAGGACTCTAACCCATTGAGGTCCTTCCTAGCATCAACCTCCACCCTCTTGAGCCTTTAACTCAAAACCATAGCCCCCTAGATCAAATCTTGAGCCTTTTTATGTGTTTTGAGTGAATTTTGGATGAAAGATAAGTTCAACCTTGTTGATTGTTGAAGCTCAAGCTTTTGGATCCAGAACCTACATCGATTTTCTCAATTCTAGAAGGTATAAAGCTTGAATCATGATGATGTATTTGTTAGATCTAGCTAGTTATGGGGTTTTATGAGCTTTTTGGTCACTGTAGTGCATAAATTTTAGATCTTGGAAGTTTGTGATCTTGTTATGGATAAAGTTAGAAACTTTATCCATCTAAACATCATATTGATTCAAATCTGAAGGTTTGAGACTTTGACTTCATGGATTATGTTGAGAAAAATGCATTTTTGGTCCATTTGAGACTTAAAGACTAGATCTTAGTTGTTTGGACCATCCTAATGGATAAAGTTGAAAATTGTATCCATTATGGAGCTATTATGAGTCATAAAAAAGTGATCTCGGTCTCTTTCTTCCCTCCATGCAAGAGCCATGATGCTTTGGTTTGTGTATTAAGTGAGGATTTTGATGTATGAACTCCTTCTAGCCATGGAAAGTCATAAAGTAGGAAACTTTATGACTTAGAATGTTATTAGGGACTAGGTTTGAGCTTTGGACGTGAGATCTTAATGAAATAAGCATTAATGAAGGTAAATGGAACTGGTCTAGTATGATAGGCATACTTAGTAGTATGTTGAGCGTACCAGGCTGGAGCCTCGTAATCAGGTAGGAATCTACTATGATGAGCATGATGACTGAGTACGTTGGGCGTACTCAGTCTGTGTTAACCTCCTTTTGACTTTTTGACCTTAACCAAGTTTGACCTAAGGGCATTTTAGATAATTTGAATAGTAGTTTGAGATTTAGGTCCCTGTTAATTGTATATGTAACCGGTAGAGATAGCTTTTAGAGCAGTGATCGATGGAGCTATTCTTTCAAAATATAAGGTGAGTAGGATAGTAGTGGTCTTTGTGACACTTATTGATATGCTTGTATGTGCATGCTGTCTTTGTGACTATTACTACTATGATTGTATGCATAGAGCCAATTTGGTCTCGGACTCATTATGGACTCAAAGTTTATACGGACACGAGGGTTGATACGGATCTGACACAACTACATGTTGTTAAATGGAGTCATTATGGACTCGGGTTTGATAAGGACCCAACACGGCCATGTGTTATTATATATATATATATATATATATGTGTGTGTGTGTGTGTGTGTGTGTGTTGTATATGGTACTTTGGGGAACTCACTAAGCTTTGTGCCTACAGTTTATGTTTTCAGGTACTTCCGTTTTCAAAAGGAAGGGTTCGGTTTGATCGCACTACATCCCGTGTAGTTTTATTTCACACTGAGTGTTTACAAATTACTCTGATGTTTTAAGAATACTTTGACTAAACGTGTTTTGGAACAATGAATGAATGACTTTAACTTAATTAAGATGAAATTTTTACTCGGTATTTTTTGGACATTACAAGTTAGGATCAGAGTCTTGGTTTAAGGGATTTGGGCACACTCTCGGGTGTAACTAAACTCAAAATGAGGAAATCT